GAGGAAGAAGGTGATGTGAAGACCGAGACTCCAAGTACAGACACGGAAAGCACGATTCCGGCGGTGGAGGGCAGAGGAACATTTGTGAGTGGACCGTACTTACAGGCCGATAATCCAATTATCAAAAACAGAAATATGACTGTGGCAGTAGATGTTGAATCTGTATCACTGAGGGGATCGGATACTGGCACTGAGGATACTCAATCAGTCTGCGAAAGTCTGTATTCGGCTGTTGAGGATACCGATAGTGAGTACGTGAGCCTAGTTGCAATGGCGGAGGATGCGGCTTCGCAGGACGAGAGCTCGAATGCGACCAGTGGAGATGTAGATACAGCGAACGAAGATTGGGCAAATGAGCACGATTTTGAGATCTAGGAAGTAGAAGGCTCACAATGAAAGTGTTAACTATCAGCTACAGTGAGAAAAGACCCTATATCGCCTGCACATCGGTTGACCTAGTGGGATGTACCAGTCTTGCTGTGCTCCTCTCCTATTCTTCGCACAAACATACAAATAAATTTGCTTTTGCTGCTGGTGTTGTTGTTTTTTTTTTGTTTTTGTTGGTGCTGCATCATATCGATGTTTACTGGTAGTCCAGAACTTCCCTGAGCACGTCTTCTACTCCGTAGTGGCCCATGTAAATCGTCCATAATGGGTTGGTCTCAAATTGCTAAATAGTCAGTGAGTGGTTTGATTGGCAAGGCTATTTCAGTGCATGCTGATGTCACCGAGAAGAGTTGCATGATAGTAAGGAGTATTGCAGAGAATGATTGGGAAGGGTCGTCACACTGGTTTTGCGACGCGAAGTAGTAAGTCAGTGGAGGAGGCATGGGTCATGCCGAAGTCAGCCACGGAATCCGCTGCTGTGAGTGCCAAAAAAGTGGGTCATTGCTTACGCGCGTGTTCACGTGCTTATGTAAGCTGCGTACGTATTGTTGCATCAGACCATGGGGACGAATGAATTTGTAGACGTACTCAGCCACTCCCCAGTTCACGGTCGATACACCGGTAGCACTGAGGTATTGCAGTGGTGTGATCGTCCTACCGACACTCGGTCTTGCATCAACCATGCACTGGCGAGTATTTGACCTACGCTTTTACATACATGATGACAGGTTCAGCCCCAATCTCCAACCACCAACACACCAACACCTCAACTATCTACGTGCATTGCAAGTAACTGAGGCGATCCCTCCCCCATCAACTAAACAGATGCCACTTCATCTGCCCCATCTTTGAATGTTACGCTGAGGATGAATTACGCATTACAATTCTATCTCCGTCTCTTTATTTACTCACGTTAACTCTTTTGCCATTGCTCCAACGATAGCCGTTGTTGTTACTCAACAGCAAGGAATTTCCTATCAGCACATTTTGCTTGCGCATTTTCTAGCTCCTATTTTCAGGAATGGTTGAGAAGTAACAGTGCATTTCTTGACCACGAATCTTTTCCCTTAATTACATTACGGGAGCGGAGATTTACTCACTTCTAACTTCTTAATCAAATAAGCAATCAGTTTGTCTAAATATACTCTTCTTAATTTGGTTTTGTCCTAACTGCCTCTGAGGCCTGTTTCTAGCCGTCATGGCAGTGGTTGGTGTTTTGTTGTCTTGTTCGCCTTAACC